ACTCAGTGAAGGTAAACATCCAGATGCCTGCAGGGCATTGGTGGTGACAAGTTGACCTACTGTGCTATTGTATTTTCCAGACGAACCTGTAGCAACTGCGGATTCGGTCAAAACACAGGAGTTTGATTGTCTCCGACCTTACTTGATGGCGGCAGAAGGGATGCAGAATAATTGCGGGACTTCACAGCAACCGGTACTAAGGTATCATGTCTAAAGTGTACTGCATGGAGCGCGGGGGAAGCTTAAATTCAATCAAACAATCTAATATAAAGCATGTATTTGTCGAAATACGAACCATTGAGTATTTTGCAAATGCGTGGAGATCAAGAGGAGCTTGTGTTTGCTGCCCGTCGTCTGAAATTCGCGCTACTGGGTCGATGTTGTAACAAGTGCCGATGACAAGATCTTGTGCCAGATCGTGGTGTGCCTGTGGGGAAAGGCCCGAAAGGCCCACATGGGCAGCGCCTATGACTTTAACTCACTGATGTATTTTTTGGCACTCGCATAGGCACACGATGCTTACCTGTCATATCTTTCTGGGTTTAGCCACTATACTCCCAAAGATGAAAGCCATGGCAATTGTATACTTTTCCTGGATTTAGGTTGGCAGACAAATTTTAGGAAGTCGTTGCAGTCGTGGTGTTTAGGTGGTGATTTGTGAGTTTTGAAATTGGAAACACGTTTAATATGTAAAAAATGTGTTTGAGTTGTGTTTTGCTTCAGTTTGGGGCTCAAATATAGACAATCGAACATAGGTCATACTGACCTGCTGCCCCATGCCTGGTGGTTCCTCTGCCCCTGGCTTTGTTTTCTCTTCCCCAGACAGTTTTAGCCTTCAGATATCTTTGGCTATCACGGTTCCTACGTCTCAAACAGTCTGTGCCCGCTCAAATTTGTCACCGCCGCCTTGTTTGCCAAGCTTGTGTCCCTTTGTCTCCCCTCTGTCTCCCTTACTCGCCCTTTGTCTCCTCTTCTGTCTCCTTGCTCTTGCCTGCAGCTGCTGCCTCCACCGCTGAAAGCTCTTGAATTTTACTGTTGAATGCGAAAGCGTGTGGCTACCAAAGAGTTTGTCAGGAGACTTAGGGGGTCAGTCTCCCAAAAATAATTTGATTTCGGACCTCGTTCGCACCTCGTTCGGACCGCGTTAAAATTGCAGCCAGTCAAAACCCAGCCCGGAGAGGTTTTGGAAAGGCTTTGCAATGGTCTGCTGCTTGGTCTGCTGCTGTTGTTGCTGTTGTTGCTTGTGCTGCTGTTTCTGGGCAAGGCAGAGGACCAAGAGATTTGTGAAAGGGCTGGAAGCCGTGCGGAAGAAACCAAAAGCATAAGAAGATGACCTGAACAAAGAAAGTCGATCCGATCAGCGGTGTGCCATGGGGGAGCAGATGCAAGGGTTGATTGGCATGAAGTAGAATTTATCATAGAAACCATAGGAATGCAACGTCGATCACATCCAAGTTTGTATGTTGGAAATGCCATGAAACTTGGTTTGCCATGCGGAGGATGATAGTTCTGACTGTTCAAGCAGGCATATGGTTGCCAACTGTTGGTTATAACAAGTGTACATTAAACGCATAGTAGATAGATATATTTGAGTTGCCTGCTTCAAAATTGGTCCACTTTGACCGTCGGTGTGCCAATAGGATTTCCACCTGGCGGAAGATTATTGATGTCTGGCATAAGCGGTGTGCCATGCGGCTGGCGCATGTTCTAGTAAATGGCGCAGGATCACGCCGGGGCTCGTAACTGCTCCCTGCATTCTGGAATTTCCTCTTGGACTCAAGGCCCCTATTGCGTGAACCCCAACATCAAGATCGAACCTGAGGTGTGACAGCTAAGTGTTGAGGACGACAAACGTTGCTGATCGTTGCTGCTTGTGCACTGGTTTGTGACCAGTAACCGGGGGCTTAATCAGGCTTAATCTAAGAGATGACAGTTTTTCAAAAGGAAGGATCTGTCCAAACAGAAGCGGGTACGAGCACTGGGGGACAAGAGGAGTTTTAGAAGCCTCGCAATCACCATATTTTTTGACCCCTTATAGTTCACTTGTGTTTAGGTTTTTGGCCATTGTGTCCCTTGTCACTTCCTCTTCCAATGGCCGGAGGTGACTGGTGCCACTGGCAAGGCTGGCGGCACTGAAAGCACCTTCTGCCCCGATGCTGGGAGCTCAGTTTGCCTCAGGATAGAACAGGAAATACTCAAGCTACAGCTAGCCATTTAGCCAACCCATCAGAAATTGCAAACCTCACATTTGCTCCAAATCATGCTATTGCATTCCCATCTGTTGGGAAAGAGGAGGTGTTGGATAGCTATAATTATTTAGAACTATATGTTTTCTTACTGGCCGATGGTTCGATCGAATGCTTGCTGCAGGTGTGGTGCTTCCCGACCATGTGCACAAAGGAAGAGGTCAGCTAAGAAGTTTGACATATCTGAGCTGACAGCAAGAAAATGTTTAGCAGAAAGTGTGACACTCCGAGTCCGATCGCGCTTACAGCATATTGCAACGGAAAAGTTTTTGATTCCAAAGTGTCCAACCACATGCAAGTGCCTGATCTCACATGTGCCCACCGGGGAAAAAGTTGCCAGTGGCCAGGTCTTGCCAACCACCGAGAACGGCATGTGCTGCCCAAAATGCCCAGCCTAGGGCTGACTCTCGAGGACAAGCAAATGCTGGGTTAGCTGAAAACGACAGGCCGCCTTTGTGAAGCAACAAGAATTGTGGAAAAATAGACTGCTTGATGCATTCAGCCTTTATGGTCTTTACAAGGAGGGGGGTTGATTCCGCGAGGTTTTGAACCTGTGTATGTGCGCGCGTGTGCGGGTGTGGGGGTGTGGGGGTGTGTGGGTGGGTGGGTGAGTGTGTGTGTGTGTGCGTGTACCGTCTGAAGAGAGGTAAAACTTCGCTCGTGGCTCATCATTTTATATTTTTCTTATTATATTATATTAAATTATACTATATTATATTATCTTATATAATGTTATGTTATATTATATTATATTATGTTTGATATTATATTGTATTTTTTGATAGTTTATGATATTATCTGATACTGTATTATATGATATTATATTATATTATATTATTTGATATTATATGATATTATATTTTATTTTATGATATTAATTGATATTATATTATATTATATTATATGTTTGATATTATATTATATTATACCATTTCATATTATATCAGATCATATCATATCATGTTATATTATATTATGTTATTGTAAATTATCTTATATGATATGTTTTGATATTATATTTCATTATATCATATTATTTTGTATTAGTTGAATTTTTATTATATTATATTTTATTATATTATATTATATCATATTATATCATATCATATCATATTATGTTATATTATATCATATCATATCATTTTATATTATATTATATTGTATCATATCATTTTATATTAAATTATATTATATCATATCATTTTATATTATATTATATTTTATTTTATTTCATTTTATTTTTGATATTAATTGATATTATATGATATTTTATTTTATTTTATGATATTATATTGTATTATATGATATTATATTATATTATATACCTTCAAAGCAGAGGGTCACCGGGGTCCCGGGGGGGTCGGTGACCAACGAAGACACCTCCCCGGGACCCGTGAAAACGTACCTGCGGGACTTTGGTGGTGCACCCGAGCGCATTCAAGTCGCAGCTGGTGGCCACCATAGTCCCATATTGTATATAGATATATAAAAATTTATTTATATTGTATATATAATATATAATATATTTTATATATATATATATTATATTATATTATATTACATTACATTATATTATATTATATTACATTATATTATATTATATTATATTGTATTATATTATATTGTATTATATTGTATTATATATTTTATATTATATATTATGTATATTATATATATATTATATATATTATGTATATATACATAGATCTAATCTAATTGCATGTGATGGGGTTCAGTTCCCGACGGATCACTTCAATGATCCATTTCTTGTCTAGTGTGCTCGCGCGTGTGCTCGCCTGTGCATGTGTGTGTGTATGCACATTCTGATATTGTATTGCCTGGTGACGCGCAATACTGAGCCGGTCGGAGCCGATGCCGAAGACGTAGTGAGGGTTGAATAAAAGTTTTTTGTGTCTTTGTGAGTTCGCACCATCGCTAGCAACGGATGGCAATGGTATGTTTCAGATCTAAGACTTGTTGGAGTATTCCGAAGAAATCATTAAGAAATCATTGGTGTTGTTTTTTTGAAAAAAAACAGGCAGAACGCTTTTCTTAACTTTCCCGCTGCAGAGCCAGCATACTGTCTAATGACGAAAAAGGATTGCTAATCTGCAGAGCACCTGGCTCAAGCCGGATCTGACTCATTGAAGCTGGCAATCCCTGAGTGCGGCTTGGCTTTGAAACTCGAAGCGCAGCTGCTTTTCTGGAGTGTTCAAAACTATTTCCCATCTGACACTTCATGTGCATGTTGATGCTGGATCCGCCAGAAGACTCAGAATGCCAACCATTTCACCATTTGACACCTCATGTGCATGTTGATGCTGGATCCACCAGAACGAATCAGAATGCCAACCATTTCACCATTTGACACCTCATGTGCATGTTGATGCTGGATCCACCAGAATGAATCAGAACGCCAACCATTTCACCATTTGACACCTCATGTGCATGTTGATGCTGGATCCACCAAGATGAATCAAATGCTATCAAATGCTAGTTTTTTCAGCATTGTGACACCTCATGTGCATGTTGATGCTGGATCCACCAAAATGAATCAAATGCTATCAAATGCAAGTTTTTTCAACATTTGGCATCTCATGTGCATGTTGATGCTGGATCCACCAGAATGAATCAGACTGGGTGCCTGTACTTTTTTGAAGCGGAATGAGCCGGGTTCGCTCCCCTCAAAATTTGGCAGCCGGAATTCACCATGGTCTCTTGGGAACTTCCAGCTTTGCCGCCAAGGTGGCGGCCATGTCCCTCAGAATTGCTTCCTTTCTGCTTGTTGCTTGGCTGCTTGTTCTTCCCAGGTGATTTGGGTGGGAGGGTGCATCGAAGGAGTGAAGTTGTGACAACACTTGTGGTGGATTTGGTGGCTAGCATGACAATATATTATGAGCATTTATGAACATTCTGGGTTTCTATGAAATGTCAATGGGGGTGTATACGAAGGTTAAGCAAGATTTATGAGAGCACCAGATGCCAAGCCGTGTGAGAGATCGACGCCCAGGCCCTTTGCTTTGCAGACGCGTCATTGAAGCACAACAAGGCTCCAAAGCAGGTGCAGCCCTCTTACTTCCCCAACAAATACACTTCAATAATTTATACACTTGAAACCATTTGAACGGGTGAAGCTGCAGATTTTGGATGTTTTTGCACGACGCTGCACAAGCCTATATCCAGCGTTTCCTGATGCAGCTAAATTTGCGCATGATGAGAGCGGAGATGTCCTTGTTCCGGAGGTGCTCGCGTTGGATCACGATGGCCAAACACAGATGCTGATTGAGGCAGTGATACAGCAAAGTCCAGTCCTGCAAGTCCACATTCTTAGAACATTCTCGGTGCCAGGTGCAAAGCTCTGGCACACGCCCTGCGTGCGTTGCGCTCTCAGCGTGTCTCAGTGCTCAAAGCATCCTTTTAAGTAGTTCCTATGCTACAGAACGACATCAACTCTTCTTTTAACAGGTGGAAGTATGTTTGGCTGAGGACGCAATCAAGTGCGCAGACCCCTTGACCTGCCCACCAGGCTTTCAATCTACCAAGGCTGGACTCCGGCTGGACCCCAGGATCCTTGAATTGTAGTTCCAAAGCAACTAGATACTTTATGATGGTATTCACCCAAAAAAGAAACTACAGGTGTAACGGTGTAACCTTGTTTTCCCCAAACAGTGTTCACACGTAGACTTGGGGTTCTTACGGCACTAGTGAAGGCCTGGGTTTGCTCCAGGGTTCGCGCATAAGTGTGCGCCTTTTTGGTGACCATTACAGCACAAAAGTTTCGCGATCTTTTGTTTCGAAGGAAGTCTCGCGCGAAACGGTGGTGCAGAGAGAGAGAGAGAGAGCTTTCTCCCGAAGGTCTACCTTTACCGGCCCGCCGTGCTCTTTCTTAAGCTACGTGCGTTTTTCGTAACAGGCGGTCTGAAACGTCGTTTTGCGTGACTAGGCGCAGGACATCGGACACTTTTTCATCCGCGTGGCAGGCCAATACTTCGTGCACGTTGCTAAAACTTTGGCAAGCCTGGGCCAAAATCGGAAGTGGTTTTGGAACTCTTTTTTGTGGCACGGGCAGTGTTTTGCGAACTTAAGACAATGTTTTGAAAGGGTCGAAAGCGTCGTTTTGTAAAGCTGTCGTCATTTTTTTGGTGCGTAGCAGGCACGGTACTTCTGAGACCTTTAGGAAAAAGTGCCCGAAACCTAGTGTCAAACATCGCTTTTCACATTTTCAATGGTCATTTTTCGTGGTGCGCGCAGGATTTGGTGAAAATCTAAGGGGTGCTCTCGCAACCCTCTTGTCACTTGTGCGTGTCGTCAGCTTTGCTCTCGTTGTGGTGCTGTGCTGATCCTGTCAAGGAGATCTTGTGCAGAGATCTTGTCAGGATGATTTTTTTGAAGCTCCTGCTGAGATCTTGCCAAGAGACTTCTCACAGAGATCTTGCCAAGGGATCTCCCATAGAGACCTTTTTACAGAGATCAATAGAGAGCTCTTGTAGGTAGTAGATGTCTTATAGAGAGATTGAACAGAGCCCTTATTGGGCGGTCTCTTAAATGATCTTGCCAAGAGACTTCTTGTAGAGACCTTCGGCAGAGAGATATTCTACATTGTACAGAGATCTCTTGCAGGGATCTTTTTTAGAACTACAGCGATCTTGTGAAATTTAGAGAGCTTGTACCGAGGTTTTGTTCAGAGAACTCTTACAGAGATCTTGTACAGAGATCTCCTGCAGCGATCTTTCCAGGAGATAACTTACACAGACCTTGAGGTGACCTTGTACAGAGATCTTGCCAAGAGACCTCTTCTAGAGGTCGCGCACAGAAAGCGTTGGGTCACGCCACGACATGGAACTAGCACATATGCCTATATTTAAATGTATAACGCATATATATATATATATATGTGTATATATGAATCTACTGTGTCTCGATATATAGCCTTTTGCCGCAGCTTGATTGCGGTTCCCATGACTTTGCATCCCCAACACACTTATAATCGTACATAATCGGGCATTTGTGGAGCCAGTTGTCGTGGTTTGGATTTGGACCTTTGCCGTGGTAGATTGTCGTGTTTGGACATCACTGTTGCGGTCGTGGTCAAAACTTGTTCTCGTGCACAGAGATCCTGTATAGAGATCTCTTTCAGGGATCTGGTTCAGGGATCGCTTACAAGATCTTGCCAAGGGATCTCTCAGAGATCTTGTAAAGTTTATAGAGATCTCTTGCAGAGACCTTGCCAAGAGGGGTCTCTTACAGAGATCTTGCCAAGAGATCCTGTAGAGAGCTTCAACATAGATGCTGTTTAGAGATCTCTGACAGAGATCTTGCGTGGAGATCTCCTATAAGGACTTTGTGCACGGAGATCTTGCCTGCAGGTCTCTTTTAGAGACCTTGCACAGGGATCTTGTAGATCTTTGACAGAGATCTTGCCAAGAAACCTCTTGTAGAGAGCTTGTACCGAGATCTTGCATAGAGAGATCTCCAACAGCGATCTGGCCAAGAGATTCTCTTACAGACCTTGTACAGAGGGATTTTGTATAGAAACCTCCAACAGAGATCGTGCTGCTAAGCGATCTCGTATAAATACCTCGCACAGAGATCTTTATAGAATATGTAGATGTAGTTGTAGTTGTAGTAGCTGTTGTTGTTGTTGTTGTTGTGGTGGTGGTGGTGGTGGTTGTGGTGGTCGTTGTTGTCGTCGTTGTCGTTGCCGTTGTCGCTGCCGTTGTCGCTGTCGCTGCTGCTGTCGCTGCTGCTGTCGCTGCTGCTGTCGCTGCTGCTGTCGCTGCTGCTGTCGCTGCTGCTGTCACTGCTGCTGTCGCTGCTGCTGCGCTGCTGCTGCCGCTGCTGCCGCCGCTGCTGCCGCCGCCGCCGCTGCTGCTGCGGCTGCTGCTGCTGCTGTAGCTACTGCTGCTGCTGCTGCCGCCGCTGCCGCCGCTGCCACCGCTGCCGCCGCTGCTGCTTTTGCTGCTTCTGCTGCTGTTGTTGTTGGTGTTGTGGGTGTTGTGGGTGTTGTTGGTGTTGTTGTTGGTGGTGTTGGTGGTGTTCGTGCTGGGCGGTTGTAACGCTGCCACAGCCTTAGACAATGGGAGACAATGAGAGCAATAGGGGGCATTGGGAGGCAATGGGAGATAAGGGAAGACAAGAACTTGCGAAGGCAGACGCACCATCCAACACAGGCACACATATGCGGGGAGACAATGGGGAGACAAGACCTCGGGAAGGCGAACACACCTTCCAACACAGGCACACATGTGCCACAATGGGAGACAATGGGAGACAAGGGGAGACAAGACTTCGGGAAGGCGGACACACCATCCAACAGGCACACATGCGGCGAGACAATGGGAGACAAGGGGAGACAAGACCCCTTGGGAAGGCGGACACAGCATCCAACACAGGCTTATATGTCGGGAGACAATGGGAGACAAGACCTCGGGAAGGCGGACACACCATTCAACACAGGCACACATGTGGGGAGATAATGGGAGGCAAGGGGGGGCAATGGGAGACAAGGGGAGGCAAGACTTCAGGAAGGCGGGCATAGCATCCAACACTACACCGGCACACATGTCGGGAGACAATGGAGACAAATGGAGACAAGTGGAGACAAGGGGAGACAATGGGAGACAAGGGGGAGACAAGACCTTTGGAAAGCGGACAGGCACACATGTGGGGAGTCAATGGGAGACAATGGGAGACAATGGGAGACAATGGGAGACAAGGGGAGACAAGGGGAGACAAGACTTCGGGAAGGGGGACACGCCATCCAACACTGGTAAAAACACATGTTCAGACCAATTCTGGACGTTCAGATGTCGTTTCGCGTGGCAGGCGCAAGGGATTGCGCACCTTGTCAAAAGTGAGCAAAACGTGATGGTTTTGTGGCAGTTTCAAAAACGTTGGCAGGCGTGGGCCGTTTGAAGAGGATCTGCGAAGATGCATGTCGCGTGGCAGGCGCAGTACAAGAGACATGTTCATCGGAGATGTTAGGAGGTCAGGGCGCTGATTTCCTGAGAGGGGTTGCATTTTGGAGCATGACATCTTCAGGTTTGCTAAGATGATTTTTCGTGACAGGTGCAGCACTTCGTATGACCTGGCCTCACTTTTTCGTGGCAGGCGCAGTACCTTAGACAGCTGGAATGGAAAAATCACAAAACGAATTGGCACGAGGCCGTCAGCTCTGCACGCAGCCGCAACTTTCCATTTTTGAAGGAACTCTCGCAGACTTGCTTCATTTTTCATATTGTCCACTTCGAAAATGGCGGAAGTCTCGCAGAACTGTTTCGTTTTTGACGTTGCCAAGTTCAAAAATTGAGAAAGTATCGCGGAAATGCTGCGTTTTTGATGTTGTCAAGTTCAAAAACGGAGGAAATCTCGCAGAATAGCTTCGTTTTCAAGCTTGCAGCTAGGCAGATAGATAGATTAGACAACTACAACTCCAACTGCAACTAATAACATCACAACTACAAATGCAAATGCAGATATATTACGCTACATTACGCTACACGAATTTCACTACACTACGCTAATTACATCTAATTACCCCACACTACACTAATTACACTACAACAACAACTGCTACTACCACAGCTACAACTACAATTACAACTACACTGCATTACACTACACTGCGCTAATTCCACTGCAGCACGCTACAACTACAACTACAAGTATACATGCAACTTCAACTACACTACATTACACAACCCTACACTATATACACTAATATACACTAATTACGTTACATTACACTACAACTACAACTGCAACTACACTACTTTACACTAGACTACACTACACTATACTACACTACAGTACACAACACTACCGTACCCCACACTACACTACAAAAATTACACCACACCACAGCTACAACCGCAACTGCGACTGCAACTACACTACGCTACTTTTTTAACATTACAACTACAACTCCACTATACTACAACTATAACTTTAACTGCGCTACACAACACTACATCCAGCAGCTGTGGTGAGGTGATCACTGCAACCACTCAACCACTCCAAAAAACACAACTCCAACCACCTTAAAGGTCCATCAGTGGATTCGCTTTGCCATCCGTGCATCACAACAACGAACCTCTCCTGTAGGTGTCCTCTTTTTGAAACTTCCGCCACCGCCTTGTGCGGTGCTCTTGGTACAGATTTAGATATAGGTATAGATTTTGGTTTAGATCTGTATATATATATATTAGATTATATTAGATAATATATATTTACGCATAGATTTAGATATAGATATTAAGGTTTAGATGTATATATATATATGTGTGATATATATATGTGTGTGTATCTATATATACAGAGATAGGTATATATTTCTACGTCAATATATAGGGAGATGTGAAACATATATACATACATAAGTACGTACATACATACATTTAGATAGGTTAGATGGGTCAGATA